AGCATTTTTATGAGCAAATAATCTCTAAATTTACGTTTTATTGACAATAACGAGTAACAGCAACGCAATAAACACGATAAAAAGGCCCATACAAAATGTTTGTGATTCACTTTTAAGGACTGGGTTCAGTAAAAGTCTACCGGAAGCTAATGAACAACGTTTTCAAGTAGGAAATCACTCAATTTACATTTATTGATGACAATTTAAACAGAAACGCATTGAATATGACAAAAATGCCCGTAAATGTTCTTAGACGTGTACTTAAAGGGAGGTGTAGTATACTTTCACCTAAGTTTCCTTGTAGGCAAAGCTTTTAACATAACAATGTGCACGGCACTTTAATCAATGTTATCTGCTGCAAGTATGTGTCGGACATAAGCGATGACATGTGTTTAGTACTGATAATTTGTGTTTTTGTGAGACCCCACACCTTCATGGCTGGTAGTTAACGAGCTGATGAATAAAGCTTGGCATTATTCGTCACACCTAACCCATATTCTCATTCCTGGTCTCCTCAACAATGTCATGAAATTGCAATGAAACATTATTTTATGTCTTAGTAATATTGATCTTTGCATGGGATGGAAGGTCAAAATACTCCTTTCACCATCCTTTTAGTTTGAAAAAGACTTTGTGGTATTGCTGACAGGAACACCAATTCAGAACAGCTTGAATGAAGTAAGGTGACTTTCAAATGATTAAGATTTAGATCAGTAACTTTCAGTACATGTGTCCTAGAAAAAAGGGGATATCATTTATATTATCCAACAAAAAGCACTTGAGAGTGTCAGAAGAGCACTGAGGGGAGAGCTGTGGCATCACAAACCATACTGGCCAGTTTTTATCCTTTTCAATTTTATAAGTTGTACATTGTCTTTGGAGTACACTTCTCCCTGTGAGACCTATACTTGTGACAAAAGTAAATTTATCTCCAATCAGTTTTGGCTTAATAATTCTTAACCCTTTAACTCTCAGAAGTGATTAACCTGCAACTTTTCCCTATAATATCTGTACATTATCCAGCCAACATGTAATGAGAATACTCAAACTTATCAGGTAGAAGTTGTTAGTCTTGATCTAATACCAAATTCTCATGACTTATTTACAAGGAAATGTGTAGCAGCTAGAGGGCGGAGTTAACAATCAAATCTCGGAAGTTAAAAGGTTAAGGGCTGTAGGCAAAGTTTTAACCAGTGAAAAATTATAGCCTCAGATCAATGAAAGTCTTACTAATGAAATGTGTATTATACATTAAATGAATATACTGGGGTTTTAGACTGCTCTTGTTGCTGTTGTTTCTCTTTGTGAAAGTTGCTAAAGGTTGTAAATTAGTTTGATTTTTTATATTTAATGATTTTTGCTGGAGGCAAATACCCTTTTAAAATAAGGAAAACTTCCCTTGATGGTTCAGTTTGTTTTAGATTCATTTTCATTTGGTGTGGTTTATTATTTTAATCTGTCAGCTGTATTCGTTTCTCTCATTTGTGAGCCCTGACAGCTTTTCTCTTGATGCTGTGGAGGAATTTGTGGAGGAGTTCACAGATGTTCATAACTCAGGTACCTTACATTGATTGGTTACCCTTATTTGATTTCAATTTTTTTCACTGATCGAAAAAGCTTTTACTTTGGAGACTCAATTGCCTATAAGCCTGGTGGTGTCTTGGTAGTCTCCTTGCCCTACTGTACCTTTGAATTCTTAAAAATATTAATTTTGATAGAAGTGCAAAGTAAATTATGATAGTTGATGATGAAGTTTCTTTTGGATTATGTACTGTTCAGTATTCTGTCAAAAACAGTTTTTGCCAATGCCCATCAGCAATAGAACTCATGTCTTGATGTGTATGAATTCAAAGCAATCCTTGCAGTAATGAACCCTTAGCTACTAAATAAATGTAGTGGTGGAAATAAGGCCTGGAAAAAATTTAAACCCATGACCTTTGCGATACCGGTGCAGTGCTCTTCCAACTGAGCTAACAAGCTAAGTGGGAGGTGGTCATTATGTTGGTTCATATTAAACCTGTCAAAGTGATAAATCGTTGAATTTGAACATATAAAAATCGTGTATGAGTATAGCGATTTCATAAAATGTATGAAAGCAATCCTCGCTGCAATGAACCCTCCTTATGAAGTAGTGTAAATAAGGTTCATTAAATTAATAAACAATTGTCTTAAAACAATAATTGGTTAACAGTAGTACTACTAACTAGACTCATAATTTCAGACACAAGTACAGAGCTGCAGAACATTTTGTCTCCATTTTTGTTACGTAGAGTTAAGTCTGAGGTGAGCCACATCCTTCACTAGCATACTAGATACTAATTTTAAAAATTCATGCATGAAGTGTTGTTCATTAATTTTACCTCTTTGTTGGACTTTTTGTTCCTTGAACATTCCAATTCAAAATTAAATTTTGTTGATGTTAATTATAAGTCTATAAAAATGATTTAAGACAATCATTTGGTGAGGATCATTTTGATTAGTTGATGACTAATGACAGTTTCATTATCAGTTTTTTTTTTCTATATTTCAGGTGATGGCACATTTACCAATAAAAACTGAGGTGAGAGGTGCATGCATTTTCATTACATGGTGTATGAGAAAAATTGTTGTTTTATTTATGGCCAAGGTTACAAGTGGGCATTAGATTAAGGAAATCATTAGTTCTGACTGGCTACATTAGCTGGTTCAGGAGTACTCAGGATTGCTTTCTTTCTTCGCAGAAAACTGAAAGTCTCTGGGGTAGTCATTTGGCCATATTCATGCAATGATGCATAATTATAAACCTTTGTAGTATTAACTTCTTCAGTGAAGAGCTGCATAATGGCATTTTTCACATTTGAATGGGGTATTGATGTGGTTGTAGTCCATAAAAATTGAAATTATATCCCATTCAGATTCTGAGTCATTGAGGCTGTATGACTCTTTAGATCCTACTGAGGAACAGTGGTTTCTGATTGAATAGGTCATTCTTTATACTGGTATGACAGATCTACAGAGGAGATATTACAAGGCCATCCTTATGAAGGATTTGGGTAAGACTTTTTCAATACTTAGTTGAGTAAATCTAATTGCTTGTCAATGGCATGTGTAGCCCATTAAATTTTCAAAATTGAAGAATTCATTATTCAATGCATGTTAAAGTTCTCCCAGTGCATCTTGTAGATTATTTTCAAAATTGATATTATTTCTTTGGGGCACTTAATTTCTGTAATAAATATAAGAGGTTACTTGGTGAGACAAATAATTATTTCACATAAGTTGCAGTTTAATAGAAAAATATGGTTTTCTGTTGGTATTTATAACGTTAAACTCCTAGAGAAAGAAGCAATTGGGAGGGTAATATAATTACAACAAAATAAAAGCTTCAGCACTTTTCTTTACAATTAAGTACAACTTTAAGCTGTTACAGTAACTGTAGGCAAACTGTTACAACTGTTACAGTAGCTGTAGGCAAACATTCTATGCTTAATAAAGAAACCCAAAAGAATCCTTAGGGGTAGGTCAAGTTCGCTGCACAACAGGCTCTCAGTCAATCAATCAATCAATCCCACAAAAACACAACCATTATCCAGCCATTTTGACCTCAGGCTTGGTCAATAAAGTATACGTATGAAGGATCAATGGCTATCTGTTGTTTGTCAGGCAAAAGTTAGGATGATCTATTTTCAAATGTATTTTTTATCATTTTCTAGAGGCCTTTAATTCTACAAGTGGTTTCATGAAGACAAGACTGATGAATATTCTGATACAGCTTAGAAAATGTATCAATCATCCATATTTATTTGATGGTAATGCTTTGAAGATCTTGAAAGTTCTTGCCATTATCACTTAATTTTTGTAGCAACACATTCTGTTCAGTGTTGTCTGGCATTTTCGCCCACAGTTTTTTTTTTCTGCTTCTGTGATTCCAAGTCTCAAATAACTGCAGCATAAGTACAGTAGTTGGTCAAAATCCAGGTACACATTGAACCGCCAACTTTACCAATGTCTGCCAGGGCTACTTTCCTTTTTTAATAAGGTGGCCGCTGTTCAGATCAGGAAGTCTTGGTTACCATTGCAGCCACACTTTTGGGATGTCTTGTAACACCCACTCCTTTGAGGGAAAATGTTGCACAACACCCCAGAAGTACTGTATAGCTGCTAAAGGGGCTAGTGAGGTTTTGGATTTACCTCATTTCTATTTTTCAAGCTGGCTGAATCTTGGTCCGGTAATTAAATCAAAGCTTATTGAAAATTTATCATTTTATTTACTGGTTTTTGATTTGTTTCCAAGGAGTGGAACCTGAACCATTTGAACTTGGTGAACACCTTGTTGATGCAAGCGGTAAGTTAATATTATTATAACTTTTTGAGCGGTGGTGCCTTTCTCTTGCTGATAAGAATATTTTACAATAACTCGCAAATAAAAGATTGCACCTATGGTACAGATATCAGTTAGACCTGCTTAGAATGGAGATTGGAGGGTAGAAGTTGTTAGTCTTGATCTAATACCAAATTCTCATGACTTATTTACAAGGAAATGTGTAGCAGCTAGAGGGAGGAGTTAACAATCAAATCTCGGAAGTTAAAAGGTTAAGGGCTGTAGGCAAAGTTTTAACCAGTGAAAAATGATAGCCTCAGATCAATGAAAGTCTTACTATAACTTACACAAAATGAAGGGTCAAACAAGATGTTTGATATC